TTTCTTGCATTTCCTTTTCTTTGGGATGGTTTTTGTTGCTGCCTCCTGGACAATGTTACGAGCCTCCATCCATAGTTCCTCAGGCACTCTGTCCACCAAATTGAGTTCCTTAAATCTGTCCTTCACTTTCATGTGTAGTCATAAGGGATTTGGTTTAGATTATACCTGACTAGCCCAGTGGTTTTTCCTACTTTCTTCAGTTTAAGCTTGAATTTTGCAATAAGAAGCTGATGATCAGAGCCACAATCAGCTCCAGGTCTTGTTTTTGCTGACTGTATAGAGCTTCTCCATCTTTGGCTGCAGAGAATATAATCAATCTGATTTCAATATTGCCCATCTGGTGATGTCCCTGTGTAGAGTCACCTCTTGTGTTGTTGGAAAAGAGTGTTTTTGATGACCAGCTTGTTCTCTTGACAAAACTCTATTTGCCTTTGCCCTGCTTCGTTTTGAACTCCAAGGCCAAACTTACCTGTTGTTCCTTTTATCTCTTGACTTTAGCATTCCAGTCCCCGATAATGAGAAGAACATCTTTCTTTGGTGTCAGTTCTAGAGGGTGTTGTAGGTCTTCATAGAATTGGTCAATTTCAGTCTCTTCAGCAATGGTGGTTGGTGCATAAATGTGGATTACTGTGATGTTGAAATGTCTGACTTTCTGTTCATGGAGTTTTCTTGGCAAAGACACTGGAGTAGCTAGCCAGTTCCTGCTCCAGGTGGATCGCATTTAGTCAGAACTCTCCACTATGACCTGTCCGTCTTGGGTGTCCCTGCACAGTATAGCCCATAGCTTCTCTGAATTACTCAAGCCCCTTCACTACGACAAGGCAGCAATCCTTGAAGGGGTACATATATACTTTCATGTAAATCAAGAGAATTTAGGGCTCAAAGCAGATTCCACTGCTTGCCATCAAAAAATAACAGCAAAATTGAGACAGCATTTCCTATCACCAAAAACTAAATAGAGGACCTGTTCAGATCTGGGATCAATCGTGTATGTCTCAATAGAGTAGAATTACAATATATCAGGATAATTGGCACAGGTGTTTTTTTATTACTAACCAATAGTAAAAGTAATCATCATCATCTAAGAACTGCATTGCTGGGAGGGACCTTTCAGGATCATTGAGTCTAGCTCTGCCAAGGAGGCACAGCTCTGCAGCTAGACAACTCAACTACTGAGCTATCCTGGAAATGGCATCAAAAATAGAAGAAATCTGCACTTATTTAAGAAAACAGATAACACTGCAAATACATTAATATAGCATTTAATCTATTCCAGGCCCTTGAAAAACATGCTTTTTCAGTTACAGCTTTCCTCTTTTTACTCCAAGACATGAGTCACATCAGTGGTGAGGGGAAAACATCATGCACATGTTCATAAATGTTCTCATTACTTCATGAACTACACAAGCATGCTTTAAGGACAATTGCGTGGCAGGGGGAAAGCTATAACAAAACCCTGCAGATTCTTTTAATTCTTGCTTCATTCTTCTCCAATAACCATAATACTGTTGAGGGCAGTCTAGATAAACAGCTGCCTGGATCGCTCAGTGGTTTAGATATTTGGCTCTGGAGTCAGAGGTTTCGAATTCTATTCCCCTCGGTCCCTCCTGGGAGAAGAGTCGCCTTGTGTGGCCTTGAGGAAGCTGCAGGAAAGTAGAATGAATCCAGTGTCTTCAGAGGTCTTCAAGCAGATACCATTAGACTTGCATGCATACCCATGAAACATGAGTGGTCCATTACATGACTAGTCCGTGGAACT